CCCCAAAACCCCAAAACCCCAAAACCCCAAAACCCCATAAGCTAGAATTATTGAATTTAATGGATAATTTTTAAATAATTAGCTATAATAAATTATGACTTAAGAGGGTAGTAATAGCTAACAACTCTATTATGCTGTATTTCCAGGTAATGGCCCATAAGTAATTAGAGATGCAATGGCAAGAAGAGGAGGATGGAAAGAAGTAACCAAAGATGAAGCGTTTGAGAAGGCAAACTTCATCTGGAAACCTACCAATTTTAATTACAGAGTAAGTGAGAATCAAATAATTATTTCAGATGTACGGGAAAATTGATAAGTGATTTTTTAACGCATCACCCTATCTGAATGATTAGCTAGTAGTAAATCATCTTGAAAACATTCGAGGAATCTGCACTAAAACTGGGCTCGTGTGAACTCTTAAGCAATATTATAAGGATAGATCTGAAGCTAGTAAGTTTTTATAACAATTTAGCATTGCAATACCTTCTATCAGAATATTATTAACTTTTTAAATAGTTGACACTGGTTATAGTGTATTTGACTCCACTCCAACTTCATTCGTTGTATCCTCTCAGCTTGATACTTATGAATATCATTAGTTTGTTCAGCGATATAATGACTTATCAAAATGCGAAGGATAATAATGCATAAAAGAAAGAACTCCTTAAAAGCATTGCACAGAAAACTATTGGCTGATCAAACCTGCAAATCTTAACTAGGGTAGAGGTATCGAAATATTCAATAGTCTCTAAGAGATTTAAAAATTCCTAAGCTCAAGAACAATCTATTCATACTGGGTCATTCAGAAATACATAGAAAAACCCTTGCTGTTTAAGGGAAGGAAATTCGATATCAGAGTCTGGGCAGTTGCTACTCATAAAAATGAATTTTACTTCTATAAGAATGGATACCTGCGCACAAGTTCAGATTCCTATTCACTAGATAACGAGAATAACTTTGTCCATCTGACTAATAATTGTCTTCAAAAATTCGGAGATAACTATGGAAAACATGAAGATGGAAATACAATTGGCTTTGAGGCGTTTCAAGAATATTTGGACGAAGAATTCCCACAGTATAAGCTGAATGTAGAGGAGCATTTCTTACAAAGGATAAAGGATTTGATGCTGGATGTATATTTGTCAGTTAGAAAAACTATAAATCCCCATAATAGGAAAAACAGCTTTGAATTTTTTGGATTTGACTTCCTTATTGATGAAGATTTTAGAGTCTGGCTTATTGAAGTCAACACTAATCCATATTTAGGTGTGCCTAATGATTATATTAAGGTTCTACTTCCAAATATGATATATGACTTGCTCAACATTGTTCTAGATCCGGTATTCAAGCCAAGTGACCCTGATATTAAGGCAACAAATAAATTTGAACTCCTCTATGGTCGTAACCAAAAAGTAAACTTAAGAAGGAAGATTGATGAGGGTCTTTATCCAATAAAAGAACTTGCTTAAGAAAGAACACAGCGTAAAAAAAAGCCAAAGCTTATATTTAGAAAGAAAAGCCCTAATCGCGTGAGTTTGATAAATTTGAAAGAGCATTAATTATAAAACTTGGATGAACCAAGTGAACAAATAAAGTATATTAGATCCTCTAGGGCTTATTTAAGCACTGTTTAAGATGAACCCCAAAACCGAAAAACTTTTATAAAAGATATCAAAATAATAAGTCCTTAAGTCCACAAGAATAAGACAGTGTTTGGCGCACTATCTCCCAAGCTAAACAATTACAACTAAAATGCTAAAGGTTTAAGAAACTAACAGCAAGTGAATAAATCCTCAAAAAATCTCCTGAATATCAGCTTGAAGCATTAAACGGTAGTTGATCAATAGTCTGACTAGGATGAAAAGATTTACGAGGATTAGGAGTATCAGACTAATAGATAACCTCAAAAGACAATCCTTGAGGCTGTTGAGGTAATCTTAATTATATGATTAACAAAAATAGTAATTGAATCAGAAAAATATGAATTTTAAGAAAGATGTAATAGGCATCATAAATAGGATCGTAGGAACATTCCAAAACTGGGAGTTATTCAGTGACAAGCAGTTAAAAGATGCAGGTTCAGCCTTGTAGACTTTAGCTTAAAATTACCATTTCTCATGTTTCTCAGATGAAGATGTACTTAATAAATTAATGAAACTACTTGCTTCAAGTAGCATTCCTGTTCAAACTAAAATCTCAATTGTAATATTCCTATATTTGATGAACCATTAATTAGACTCAAAGTATCTTGTAGATGCTGAAAAATATTTAGTTCAAGAAATTTTTAGTCTAGGTGTTCTTTCCAGCTTCTCAAAATCTTAAAAGCATTGTAGACATTGCTTTAGAGAGCGTACATTAACAGGAAGAGATAGATAAATAAACTATGGAGTTATACCAAAATGCATATATGACTTTTATAAGCTTATTATGCCTAGGCTAACGAAAATTCTATATTCCAGGAGAAACTAAGGATAATGAAAAATTGAGATAAAGGGCAATAGATATAGGAGTCCTTTCATTATTAGCATATCTGTATATTAGGTCGCACAATGAGGAACTTCAATAGCTCATCAATAAGCTTGCTATATCATAATTAGACGACTCTGACTTTTAATATTACTTCTCTAAACCCAGACTTATCCAGTAGTGTGACTATAATATTGATATTTAATACAATGGAGTAATAGAAGAATTTATGAAAGATCAGTGTAATCAAATGCAAACACAAAGGAATCAGCAGATGTTAGAAGAAAATACCAAGAGATAGATGTTTTAGCAGGAATAACAAAAAAAGAAAGAACAATAAGAGAAGGATGCTGAAGAAAAAAGAAGAAAAGCAGAGGAATCCTTTCAAAAAAGAATGGACGAGAAGAGGAAAATGCAATTAGAATAGATGCGAAAAGAGATGACTGAAAGAGAGAAATTCTTAAGAGATGAAGAGGAAAGAAAGTAGCAAATGGTAGACCATCTTCGCAAAAAAGAGGAAGCCCGTAAACAAAAGCAAATGGAATAACTGAAAAAGAAGTACGAGGAAGAGTCAAAGAAGACTGAGGAAATGGAGAAAAAGCGTATTGAAAAGGAGGAGGAAAGAAAGAGGGCTATATAAGAGTGGCATTTGAATAAGCTCAAGCAGAGTTAAGATCAAAGACTCACAGTCAACAATCTCATGAGAAAAGGCATGCTCAACACCTAGAGAAGGCTAGACTAAATCAGGCTGGAAAATAGTAAGATTATAAGTCTGGATTAATCAACAATTGAATCCTCCAATCTAATGTCAATCGACAGAATGAATGAATTAGAATTGCCATAATCTCTCATTGAAAATAAAAGATTTGCAAACATTAGCAAAATGTCAATGACCGGAACTATAACTCCACAAAGGAATTTACAAATCAAAGTTCCTGAAAGAGACAATACTTCTGCCAATAAAGTTTAGAACATAAAAAATAATTCCTCATCAATAATGGTTGAGATGAATGATGACCCACTTATCGATAAGCTCAAAGCATCAAGTTCTGTAAAAGATTTCAAGTCAAAGAAAGCTTCTCATTCTATAAATGTCACCTTCAATAAACAAATTGGCTCTGGTAAACCTCTATAAATTCTACCCTCACTTGGAGCTGCATATTCCAATGAAGCAAGTGTCATGAATGATCATGATATAAGATTATTCAATATTTATGGTCATCCAAAGACCTAAAAAGGCATCCTTAATAATAAAAGAGCATCTAGATATAAAAATAGTCCAACTATCAAACCACAGATTGACAAAAAGAATGAATTTATCAAGTAGTTATTGTAGCAATAGTAGCTTGCAAATAGGCAGATAGACTTACATATGATTTAGCTAGACAATCATTATCACTTTAACATCCAGGATTAGAGTTTTCTTAATAGTACATCATCAATAGATAATAGAAGATCCTAAAACATAGTAAATATCAATATGAATGCTCCACATGATTGATGATCATTAGCAGGACTTTCGTGACTCTTAGTACATAAATCTTTATCACTAACTATTAATATGCTATGATATTAGACGATATAAACATATAATTTCATAATCTTTAAAGATACTTCTTACAAATGATGCTCAGTATGTTAGACTAATGGGGTTTTGGGGTTTTGGGGAGATCGGAAGAGCACACGTCTGAACT